CATTCTCTTTCCATCCACTTCTCTCTTTTGCTTTTGTTCCTTCTTCTATTTCTAATTGTGGTCATCCCCAAACATCTCCCAAGATCTTTGACCATATGCTCTTTCAGCTCTGTATGTTTTCCTTTGGAAGGTTCATCCATTCTCAGGGTATCAAGCATCACATGTATGCTGTCGACTTCTACATGTATTATCTTGAACCCTGACCATCCCCATGAGCTCCACTTCTATATCTTTACCTTCTATTGGGCATTTGTACTTGGATATTAACACTGTCATGTCAAATCCATTATGCTTATCTTTTTATTCACTACTGTTTTTCCCTTTCCACACATAGAACAAGTTTCTCTACCCAGTTTCCCTCCCTCTCAGTATCACCTTTATCTCTGTGTCTTAAGTTCAGAATCTTGAAATCATTCTACTGCATGGTCCTTATTTAGTCAAGAACCAGAATTCCCCCAAGGCTTCCCTTTCCAGTCTGTTCTTACTGCCAATACTCAAGTTTAGGCCTTCATCCTCTCCCATTTGAATTACTACCACAGCCTCGAGGCTCTCCCACAGCCTCCTGCTCTATCCTAGATACCACTGCCATCTAATCTTCCTTGAATACACCTTTCATCACATCACTTCCCTAATCAAAAACATCTCATGAGTCCTATTTCCTACATCAAGTCTAAACACCTCTTCCTAGTTTTCAGGCTGCTTGTAGCCTGGCTCCACCTTATCTGTCTTATTACCCAACATGTTCCCCTTCCTTGAGTTAGGTCAGTTTCCTCACTGTCACAAGAACTGGCCAAGTTCATTTCTTCCCCAATATCTTAACAAGTATATTTTCTCTTGTCCAGAATGCCTTTCTTTCCATTGACCTAAATCATATCCATCTTGCAAGAGAATTGTCTGTGCTTCCTGTGTCCACTTCCCTGCTTTCTATTCTCTTTAACCCACTTTAATCAGGCTTTTATCACCACCATTTTACTATTCGAGCCATAATTCTTATTACTTTCCTATCACTAGTCACTTCCTCAGTCTTTCCCATCTCAGTAAATGACACTATCATTTACTTAGTAGTTTCTCCAAACAAAACCTAGGAGCTATCTTTAGTTCTCCCTCATAACCCCTATCCAGTCAGTCCATCAGTGAGTCTGGTAAGCTTTCCATTCAAAATATATTTCAAATCTAACCACTTCTCACTATCTCACTGCTACCACTCTGGCCGGAGCAAACAGTACCTCTCCAGTGGTCTCCCTGCTTTCATTTTTGCCCTTCCACAGTTTATTCACACAAAGCATCTTTAAAGATGTCAATCTATTCATGCCACTTCACTGTTTATGGCTTTTAAGGCCGTATCTGATCTGCTCCAGCCCAAGGCTCTTATCTTACCTTTTTTCAATTTCCCCTTACTTCTTCTTCTCTATTTTCTCTGGCCTTCTTTCTGTTTCTACAATAAGCTAAGCTTTTTGACACCTCACCTACACATGGGCACATTTCAGAATAGTCACTAGATAGGTTAGAAAAGAATCACTGTTTTCAGTTTCCACAATATTTGTCAATAAAATATGTCTTATAGTATGGGAAAAACCTTTTTCTAAAATCTATATTTTTCTGTAAGCTTCTTTTATTCTGAAATAATCTCAAGCTTACAGAAAAGCTGTAAGTACAGATCAAATCATGTTTTTTCTTTTTCTGAGCCATTTGCTTTATCACCCCTATATACTGTACTATGCAATTCCTATAGGCAACCACATTCTCCTATATATTCACATTATAACCATCAAAACTGGAAATCAGCTTTGATTCATTACCGTCATCTAACCTTCAGATTCCTTTCAAGTTTTTCCAGTTGTCCCAATAGCATTAATTATGGGAGAAGGATCCAGGTTAGAATCATGTGTTGCATTTTGTTAAATTTCTTTAGCTTCCCTTAGCTTGGAACAGGTCCTCAGTCTTTCCTTGACTTTCATGATCTTGACATGTTTTAATAGAACAGGCCATTTATGGGCTGGGCGCGGTGGCTCACGCCTGTAATCCCAGCACTTTGGGAGGCCGAGGCAGGTGGATCACAAGGTCAAGAGATCGAGACCATCCTGGTGAAACTCCGTCTCTACTAAAAATAAAAAAAATTAGCTGGGCATGGTGGCGCATGCCTGTAATCCCAGCTACTCAGGAGGCTGAGGCAGAAGAATTGCCTGAACCCAGGAGACGGAGGTTGCGGTGAGCCGAGATCGCGCCATTGCACTCCAGCCTGGGTAACAAGAGCAAAACTCCGTCTCGAAAAAAAAAAAAAAAAAAAGAACAGGCCACTTATTTTTTAGAATGTCCTTCAATTTGCATTTGCCTGATGTTTTCTCAAGATTAGATTCAGGGTATGCATCTTTTTAAGGAATAGCATGGGGCTAGGTGTGGTGGATTACGCTTGTTATCCCAGCACTGTGGGATACTGAGGCAGGAGGTTCACCTGAGGCCAGGAGTTCAAGACCAGCCTGGGCCACCCAGCAAGACCCCCATCTCTTAAAACTTTTTTTAAAAAATTAGCTGGGTGTGGTGGCACACACCTGTAGTCCTAATTACTCTGGAGGCTGAGACAAGAGGATCACTTGATCCCAAGAGTTTGAAGTTGCAGTGAGAGCTATGTTTATACCACTACACTCCAGCCTGGGTGACAGAGTGAGACCTTGCTCATTAAAAAAGAGAGAGAGAGAGAGAGAGAAAGAGAGAAAGAGAAAGAAAGAGAGAGAGAGAGAATATCACAGAGGTGGTGCTGAGAAATCTTTATTTCCTTCAAGTGGCACATGATTTTGATTTGTCTCATTATCAATTATGTTTTATTTGGTCACTTGATTAAGGTGGTGTCTGCCAGCCTTCTCTACTGTAAAGTTATTTTACCCTTTGTAACTAATAAGTAGTTTATAGAAACGTACTTAGAAACTAGGTAATTATCCTGATCCTCATCAAACTTCCCATTTATTCACTTACTTATCAGTATGGACTCATGGGTCCTTATTTTATTTGCTACTATCTTTATTTATTTTGATGCTCATAGTCTCTAAGATTTTGCCAGTGGGAGCCTCTTTAAGTTGGCTCCTGTGTTCTTTGACATGTCCTCTAATTGAGCACTTCCTTACATTCTGTCACAAGCTGTTCCAGACTCTTCTTGTGTTTTCCCTATTCCAGTCCTGGAATCAACCATTTCTTCCAAGACCCCTGGTTTTTCAGTTGTGCCTTCTAATAGCCACAGTGTGGTTTCTCTCAATGGACAGAGCTAGAGAGTATATGTATGCACATAGACACACAGACACACAGACACACACACACACACATTTATGTATCTATATGAAAATCCATGAGTTCACACCTATACCATCAATGCCAATTCAGTGCTATAGAGGTCATTCTATCTTTATCACTTCCCATATTTGTAATTTTTATCCATCAGTGAGAGAACTGGCAGCCATTATCCTTAGCGTATTTATTTATTTGATCAGTACCCTGAAATGTAACCAAACTCCCATCCTTGCCACCTTCCCTGCACACATATAGACACCCATATCACACCTCTAGGACTCTTTTTTTCTTCTTCTTTTTTTTTTTTTTTTTTAAACAGAGTCTTGCTGTGTCACCAGGTTGGAGTACAGTGGCCCAATCTTGGCTCATTGCAACCTCTGCCTCCCAGGTTCAAGTGATTCTTCTGCCTCAGCCTCCCCAGTAACTGGGACTACAGGCATGTACAACTGCACCCAGCAAATTTTTGTATTTTTAGTAGAGACTGTGTATCACCATGTTGGCCAGGATGGTCTTGATCTGACCTTGTGATCTGCCTGCCTCAGCCTCCCAAAGTGCTGGGATTACAGGCGTGAGCTACCTTGCCTAGCCTAGGACCCTTGATTTTACTCCCCGGACTGCCTCCTCACCCTGCTCAAGTTTTGATACTCTATTTGGGCCTTTTCCCCATGTAGATGGCCCTCTTTGCCCTGCTCAGGATCTAATTCTGGCACTCCTATTGTGGGTCAGCCATACTTGTGATATCCTCCTTACTCCATTTGGTACTGACTCCCCAAGCCATGCTCGCTGTCCTCATGGTTGCCCTCCTCACCCTGCACAGGCTCTGATACAGATTCTTACGGATGCTTGCTCTGCCCCACCTGACTTTGGCTTTAGGATTGAGCTGTTTCTCAAGGCTTAGGAAAAGGAAGAAGTAAGACCATATTTTATTTAGAAAATGCTTCCTATTTAGTGTAGCTTTATGAGTTGAGAAGGCTATAACATTTCCATTCCCTTAGAGCTAAAAAAGCATATATTATTAGTATCTATCTCCCTTAAATACTGTAGCAATCAGCAGACAAGAAGCCAAATCATTTTTGAAAGAATACCTAACCTAAATCACCATAGAAACAAAACAACCAGATAAAAAAGAAAGATTCCTTCGCATTTTTTCATCTTTTGTTCAAATTATGGCCACGGTCTCAGAATCACTATTGAGTGCTAATGATTAGTAAGTTCATGAACCTTAAATTTTAAACAGGGTGGTTTCTGACAGCAGAGACCCTTGGATCAAAATTAATTGTATCTTTTAAAACTGAGAAATGCAAATATTTAGTCACAATAACATTACTGTCATTCAGTCATACCACAAGATTTTGCAAAGGAATGTCTGTATTGAATTGATTTTCCCTTGAAACTTTAGAACTAAAACCTCTGCAAGATTGCCCTTGATAATCTTTTCACCGTGATAAAAATACTGACAAGGAGTCAGGGCATTGTCATCAAAGAGCAGACTACAACTTTCCCAGGACAAAAATATTCAAGTTTGCCTCCAAACCCCTTCAAGATATAAACTAACTATTCTAAGAAGTAGCTTTTTCATTCCTAGTGTTATTCTAAATTCTTTTTTGTCTGAGAGACAAATTTAGCCTGTTTTCTAAATTAAGATATGTGATGATTGGACTTTTGTTTAATTCTAAGCCAAAATATACCCAAACTCCCACTACATTCCTTGGAAGCCCTAGATGCTGTTGAAGTGCTCTCTTGGCCACATCTCACTCCTTTTGGGAGTCAGCACTCTCCATCTGTATCCTCCTGGAGACCACGAAAGGGAAAACAGCCTCTGTGACTTCTCCAACCAGGTGGGTCAGATTAGCTTTACAGTCCCCTTACAAGGAGGCTAACAAAGCCCCTCTGTGGGTGTTTGGGCACATTTTATAAAACTGCTCATGACCTCATGAGCCAAAGAAACCAGGTCTCACATTGTGGACTAAGCCTAAATATTAACACTACTTTATATTTATGTAGTGTCTTTTTTCCAAGGAACTCCAGCCTCTTTACAGACATTATGTCACTAATCCTCAAAGCATCCCTGTTTAGTATATGGCAAATATTATCCCCCTCCCTTTTTTTTTTTTTTTTTTTTTTTTTACTGTGATGGAAACTTCCAAGTTGGTGATGGAACCCAGCCCCCTGGTTCTTACTCTATGCACTATACCGTAAAAAAAGTCAGACGAATACTTTTCCAAGCTATTCGTTGCTTCTTGGGTGGGATTTGAGAGGATGTCTTGGCTTGTTGTATGCATTTGTCTCTAACTTCTATGATCCTCTTTTTCTTCTTCATTCTAAGTCAAGCATGTTCAAGCATATTATCTTCCACTGCTGCATTTATAGGAACATTAGAAGTTTGTAGCTGAAATTTGAAGTGAAAGGCTTTGGTATTTAATATGTAATTTCACTTATCACTCAGAGATCCCTTATACTTCTCATACCCCAAAAGAAATTAGATTTTTTTAAAAATTCACCATGCCAGCTTAGAGCACATTTTATTTATAGCAATCACATGTTCACCAAAATCAGGTAGTGTTCAACTAGATACAACCAATTTGTATTGAATTATTAACATGTGCCAGATATTGTACCAAACATTTTCAGATACATGGTCTTATTTTACATATATTAATACATATGTAATATTCCATGTGAACTTGTTAAATTTATTATTTTTTTTTTTTTGAGACAAATTCTAGCTTTGTCACCAGGCTGGAGTACAGTGGTACAATGTGGACTCACTGCAACCTCTGCCTCCCAGGTTCAAGTGATTCTTCTGCTTCAGCTTCCTAAGTAGCTGGAATTACAGGCGAATACCACCACAGGTAATTCACCACGACAGGCGAATTACCACCTGGCGAATTTTTGTATTTTTAGTAGAGATGGTGTTTCACCACGTTGGCCAGGGTGGTCTCGATCTCCTGACCTTGTGATCTGCCTGCCTCAGCCTCCCAAAGTGCTGAGATTACAGGCGTGAGCCATAGCATCCAGCTAAATTTAATTCTTAAGTGTGTAAACACTCTCCTAGAGTAGGGCAAAGAAAAAAAAAGAGGCTTTTGTAGAAATATGGCCTCAGTTGCTATATCCAAAAAAAAAAAGGCTCCCTCAATTCTCTCAGTGGAAATCCCCAGTGTAAATATTTCCACAAAAGAGGAAAATGTGGCCGGGCGCAGTGGCTCAAGCCTGTAATCCCAGCACTTTGGGAGGCCGAGGCGGGTGGATCACAAGGTCAAGATATCGAGACCATCCTGGTCAACATGGTGAAACCCCGTCTCTACTAAAGATATAAAAAATTAGCTGGGCATGGTGGCGCGTGCCTGTAATCCCAGCTACTCAGGAGGCTGAGGCAGGAGAATTGCCTGAACCCAGGAGACGGAGGTTGCGGTGAGCCGAGATGGCACCATTGCACTCCAGCCTGGGTAACAAGAGCGAAACTCCGTCTCAAAAAAAAAAAAAAAAAAAAAGGAAAATGTGGGTAAAATCACCAGGATTTAGCTTCATACTCACAAAGTTAAAAAAAAAACTTAAAAGTTCGGTTCCTACGTAATCAACAGCTATACAAAGCATAGAGAAGAGAATAAAATACAGCTATACCTAAGGATGACAAATATTTCTTGATTTCACTTGGTTAGACCCTTCCTAATCAGGATTATTAGAACCAGGAATTATGAATTGTTGTGTATAACTTTCGCCCTCCCTTCCTCTCTTTCTCCTTCCCTTCCTCCCTCCCTCCCTTCCCTTCCTCTCCCCTCTCCTCCCCTCCCCTCCCTCTCCTCTCCTCTCCCCTCTCCTCCCCTCCCCTCCCCCCTCCTCTCCTCTCTTCTCTCCTTCCCTTCCCTCTCTCCCTTCTTTCCTGCCTCTCTCTCTCTCCTTCTCTCTTTCTTCTTTTCTTTCTTTCTTTCCAGGGTCTTACTCTGTTGTCCAGGTTAGAGTGCAGTGATGCAATCCACCACTCACTGCAGCCTCAACTTTCTGGGTTCCTGTGATCCTCCAACCTCAGGCTTCCAAGGAGCTGGAATCACAAGTGCACGCCACCACACCTGGCTAATTTTTGTATTTTTGGTAGAGATGGGGTTTCACCATGTTGCCCAGGTTGATCTCAAACTCCTGAGCTCAAGCAGTCTGTCCACCTTGGCCTTCCAAAGTGCTGGGATTACAGGCATGAGCCCCGCACCTGCCCCCGTAGTAGTAAAACTTTAAATAGTAACAAAAATCAGTTTCATATCTCATTTTAAAATTCTTTTATATGAACTACTGTCATTTTTTTCAATTTGGTAGACATCTGTAACTTAGGCTGAATTAGATAATGCCAGTGAAATGAGAGACAATGGGGAAAAATTAGGAAAGCTCTTCTAAAATAAGGCAGAGAATTTCAACTTTTAATCACTGAATTTTAAAAGCCCTCAGAATAAAAATGTGCCATATGCCCTGCCGTAACGCTGTTCCACTCTGCTCTCTGGCCCAGCTAGATTCAAAATAGCCCTACATTTCTAAGTAAATAGTGCTTAATTTGAAACTGAGAAGCCCTACTATACCATGGAAAATCTTTATAGGTTGGAAAATATGTATATTATGTCATACTTTAGGTATATAATCTAGACATATTCTGTAGCATAGCTTTGCTGAAGTTTATACCCAACAAACTTGAGTTTTTAAGAAAACATATTCATATATTCCGAATGTTTGGTTTTTCTTTCATAGGAAATATTAGCCAAAAGGAATACCCTGTATTTCAAGTAAAAGCTTAGTGATGGGGAAATTTAAAAAGTGTTAGTTGAAAATTGAATGTTTACACAGCTAACTACAATCACCAAGTCAAGAAAAAAAAAAAAAAGAAAGAAAGAAAATTGAATGTTTACCCCAGCAGGGTTGCCATGCCTGACTTTGCTGATTGTGCACTGCATAATTCCAGGGATACCTAACACATAGACAGAAATGTGAATGGTACCCCCTGGGGCTGAGCAATGCCTGGCAGCCCTGATTTTAACTAAATAGTAAAGCTTTTGAAAATGTTTATGTTTTTTCTCTGATTCACTACTGAAGACCAGTTGTGAGGTGCAGAAGGGCTTTTATTATTTTTCCTATTTTTTTTGGGTGTATGCAAGGTCCTTAGTTTTTTCCTTTCCATGTTGGTTCCAAAACACTTCCTTACTGACTGAGCTTCAGCACACTGCTCTGGCATTCTCCCAGCTCTAAGTTTTCATGAGTCAGGGAAAATGTGTGCACTCTGAGACTTGTCAAACATGCTCAGCCAGCCCAGGGCTAATTTATGAAGGCCTCTCCATTCTTCTTTTCCATCCATATTCTTACAGCCTACTGCTTGTACCTTTATTTAGCCCTTACTTCATCTTACCTGTGTTGGATGTTAGTTGGAGTTTGTTGTTTACATATCTGTGTTCCTTACTACCTTGAACCACTTGACTACCCATCCCTGCTGTCCTGCTGCCACTGTGTCCTGCCCTCATCACTGCCATAGCACTTAGCATGGTGCCTTGACTCTTCTACTTGCCTGACTCTCCTCTTTTATCCTTTCATTCTTTGATTTTCCTTCATTTTCTTTAGTCAGGAGGAGAATATGTGTTCTCTAGATAGGGAGAATAACTGGAGGAATGCAAAGAAAACTCACCTCCATAAAAGACTAAGAGTGGCCCTGCAGATAGGCCTGTTACTTGGTCACAACACTCCATTTCCTCATTTACTCTTACTGTGGCCAGGCCTGGCCCAGATTTAATAAAACAACTTAAAGAGAGTGATATCATTAATTTTATACCAGTTTAAGTTTTTAGTGATGCAGTGGATTTTAAAATGAAAACAGTACAGATGTTTTTGCAAGATGTAAAAGAAACTGGTAGCTATCATTTTAGACAGTACGGCTATTGAATGTATGAATAACTGTGTAACTGAATGAACACTTTTATAAGTAGTAGAGTTGGTGTAGCAAAACAATTATTGATGCTTACTGTGTGAAAGGCATTGTGTAATGTATTGCAGAGAGGCAAAAGACCATAAAATTGATACACATGAATTCCTAAATAAAAATCCAATCCCAGATATAGGACAATTTGTTTATAAGTATGTTGTCAGAAACATTTAATTACAAAAATGTGCTGTGGATTTTCATTAGAAAGAAAGTTCATGTCAGATTAAAGGACCAAAAGAGGCTTTGTGGATGAAGTACTATTAGAAATTGGCCTTGAAGGAATTATTCAAAATTTAAAAGAAAGAAAGTAATGGAAGATTTCTGTTTTCTTAAATTTAGAGGAAATAGAGAAGAGGTAAAAGAATGTGGTATGTTTGGAGGATTAATTCCCTTGGTTGCTGTAACAAATGACATATTTGGTGGTTTAAAACAACAACAATGGCCAGACACGGTGGCTCATGCCTATAATCCCAGCACTTTGGGAGGCCGAAGTGGGTAGATCATGAGGTCAAGAGATCAAGACCATCCTGGCCAACATAGTGAAACCCCGTCTCTAACTAAAATACAAAAAATAGCTGGGTGTGGTGGGGCGCACCTGCAGTCACAGCTACTCGGGAGACTGAGGCAGGAGAATTGCTTGAAGCTGGGAGGCAGAGGTTGCAGTGAGCAGAGATTGCGACATTGTGCTCCAGCCTGGCACCTGGTGAAAGAGCAAGACTCTGTCTCAAAAAAAAAAAAAAAAAAGTTGGGAGTTTGTAATGAAGTGCACTGAAGGGTTCTAAGAGCAGATCTGTTTTAGAAAGATCCCTATGGAAGCATTGTGAAGGGTGGATTGAAATCTACATGTCAGTAGTGCCTCACTCCCTCTGGGGGCTCTAAGAGAGGTTCTGT